ACACAGAAAATGTCAGTCTCCAGAAATATTACTCCATTAATCTAAATGAGCATAAATGAAATAGGAACGTTTCTATAAAATGGCATGCCTTCTGTTGCAGAATTTTGGGAAGAATAAATTAAATTATGAGCCTTCAAACACATCTGCAAAGTTAAAATACCTGTTATTGAACAGTACACGATGTGAGGAGCAATCTTGCTAATGTCTTCATACCCCAGGCCCATTTCAGCCAGTTTCCCAGGGACATAGTTTTCCACAAAAACATCAGACACAGCTGCAAGCTGAAAGAAAAGACAAAGATGAGTCAGACTTCTTAATCAACTTCTGAAAGTTCAACAAGTTCCCCACATAACTTAATTTAAAATTTCAGTAAACAAGATAGTTCCTGGCTTTCCTTCAGTACAGAAGTCACAAGGTAATTGTGACTGGTTTAAATAACCTTTGTATTCTGAACAAATGGCTTCTCTACTCTGATCTGTTACATACTATAAGTATTGTATGCCTAGGAATGGATTCAGTATTAAAATACTGAATGTGCTATCTATGTTGTTATATGGTGTAAACATGTCAATTAGCCAAGAGCAGTCTACATTTAACAGGACAAATACTGGCATTTTTGTGTCTTTCCTAATTTTGGGAATGAGTAGGGAGAAGAGGAAGAACCCTTAATCCCTTGCAGGTTTTTTTCTGTGGCAGAAACTGATACTTTTGGCAACAGTGATTTTAATTTCCAAACTATCAGTTTCACATATAGTATCTTTTAATAGGTTTCATGACCCCAGTGCTGTCTTAACAACTATCTGATCATGTTACATGAAAATCCTAAAGGCAGCTTCAGGAATAGAACATCCAGCCCCAGAGCCTGACTTTCTGTACTATGGCAGAAATGACAATGCTTATAAACAATGTGAAAGGATGCAGCTGCTTTCTAAACCTGGAAAACTCCAGGTCAGCGGACTGTTTCTCAAGATAGCAAACAAAAGACTACCACTGTTTTCTCAGGTGTATCTGTTTCTTATTCTCTGCAACTAAAGCTTTTAATCTGGATATATTCTCAATATGCCTTTTTAGTCAACCCCAAGGCTCTTGCCAAGAAAAAGCAACTTAAAGATACAGAGATACTCTTATTATTTTCACCTGTTCAGTGAGGGGGAGAAGGTGAGATTTAATACATGTGAATACTCAAAAGTTAATCCTTGGATTTCAGCATTTCCTTTATACTTTATATATTTCCACATAAAGAAGCCTTGCACCAATTTAACTAAAAGTGATTATTGCTAGCTTGTCTACACATAAATTGTATCAATTTATCTTAAATCCATTTAGTTAACGGTGTAATTTTTGTGTGTGGATATAGGTTTAAAATGAGTTAAAAAATTTTATACAGATTTAGCTTATGCATGTAAATGTACTAACATAAATTACACAGTAAGCCAAGTTTAAATGAATACATCAACATCCACCCTGAGCTTCATCAGGTAAATCAGAATTTAAAAAAAAAAAATCACATATTTATATTTAAACCACTACATGTACGCTTATAGACCAACCTTAAATCAGTCTGAATTCACACCTTTTATTTTAGTGTCAGTTTTTATGTAAACTAACCCTCTGTTGTATAATATAGGAAATATCTTCTCTTTAGGTATTCTCTGGTTTGGAAAAGGTCTGATCCAAAGCATACTGAAAGCAATTAAAAGACTGCTATTGGTTTTAATGGATTTTGAATCAGAGCCTAAATCATATCTTTATTCATCCCCACAAATGAAAAGCTATATCTGGACATATTTATAAATGGTTAGGTCATGCAAAGTTAATTATGAACCTCTGGAGAAACAGGTTAATACCTAAGAAGATGGTGATGGTCATTTTAAGGAATTTGAGAAACAATCCACTGACATGTACATGTATACACATACATTAATTAAGCACAGGCTTTGTGCAAAAGTGGACTGTTTTAGATTATTTCAAGTTGACCAGAGTCATACTTCCTGGAGCTATCATGTATCTGGCTGATTACTATGTACAGTACACTGGAACTGTTTCCATAAACTAGTGTCATCATATCAGCAATCACAACCATTATTGTTCTAGCATGTAGGCTGTTTTACTGTATCTAAAGCCAAAGAACAAGTCAAGCCAACAAACATTTAACCTCTCATTTAACTGATTCTCATTCAGACAACAAGGCATGTAACTGATGAATGATTGGATTGGCTGCAAGGTGGAGATACTAATAACATCCAAGATATTCTATAAGTTCAACATAAGGTAAAAGAGTATTTTAATGTCATGGAGTATCAAGAAAATCTAGGTCTACAATGTGACAGACTTAAAATTATTACCGTCTTTTGATGAATCATCTCTAGATTTTTAATAAAAAAAATTTAATGGGGAAGGTTGACAGTTGTTTAATTCACCATTCCACATACTATTTTGTGGAAGCTATAAAAAAGTGTGTGACTGGCATTAGAGGAATCCTGTTTCTCAGAAACGGAACAAGGGAGAGCCAGGGTTCCACAGAATTAGCGTCACTGTCGGCACAAGCCCGCGAGAAGGTAGGCCCATATCCCTCCAATATCTTTGCACAGGCTAGCAGAGCCAGTCCGGTAAGATGAGGCGCATACTTTAAACAATCTTGAATGGCATTTTCACACTCAGGATCTTAATTGGTTGTTGCCTACTCCTTTTTACCCACACACAAATGCATCTCACCAGGGTTTGGTTGTACTTCAGACTTAAGCTGGCTGATCCAGCCGGTATACAGGCAAGAGCTCAGGATCACTCATTTTGTAGTGTGGTTGTAGGCTAAATTTTTCAATTGCTGATAGCCCTCCAATGCTTTCCCCTATAGTTTCCTCCCCCTCTCAACCCAAAGTACCCAGAAAGAGATACAAGTTATCCCACAAGGTAAGAGTCACAACAACTCAGTGTACAGCAGCACAAAGAACCATGGGAAATACCTCCAGGGGAATGCAGCATTAGCAAGCCCACAGTAATTCAGGTTTGGCTTTGCAATGCGGATGCTAACACCTGAGCTAGATTAAGGCTGATTACCTGAAAAAAAATCAGCCAGGTCCCGTACCACACACGTGAGAAGCAAAAGAAAAAAAATCCTCACTGGTGTGGCCCCCGTCTGAGAAGGAGAAAGACATTTCCCTCACACATCAGAGCCTAGTGGGACCCAGATTAGTAGATTTTGTGTGCTCCGGCCCCGTGGAGAAGAGTAGGGAGGGGCTGGAGCACCAGTGCAGGCTCCCCAGTGCTGGGGGGAGCCCTAAGCCTTGAAAGCCAGATCCAGGCAAGCCGGGGGCCACATCCGGCCCCTAGATCTTAGGTTTGCCACCCCTGTGTTAACTCAGCAGTGAAGACATACACTAAGGGTGCAGCACTGGTTATACTCTTCCGAGCTCTAGGGCTTGGTCTCACCCTGATGCCTTGCTGGTGCAATCAGAACATCATAACTCCCAACACTGGGCTGAGACTTAACATCAATGTAATTCCACTACTCATGCCCCCACGTTAGACCTCTGAATACTTAGTCTGGTTCTCTTACTGTGGTGTCCAGCAATGAATGGGAACAAAAAAGCACATGCTCTGGAATTGTACTTAATACAGCTAGTACACTATTTTGTTCAACTTTTTAATCTCAGAAAACGTTGTGATACGAATACAAAAACATAGATTGTTTCTGTTTCGCTCTCATAATTACACTAGCTATTTGGAAAACACCAATATTAAAAACAGACACTATTTTATTTAAAGAAGAATTTTTTTAGAAAGTAAGACTGCCAATTTATTCTTTTGGGGGAGAGCTTTTAAAAGAATTCCATAAAGATAACTTGTACCTCACTGTGTCTATCAATTTCTCTTCTCTGATATAGACATCAATGTGTGGGATAGCTCTGCTAAATTCAGACAGAGACAGCTAGAGATGTCAGGCTAGGACAGCAGAAGAGAAAAGGGCCTCCCCATTAACTTCCTGTCAGAGAGTTCTCCCAAAACTACTGTAACTAATACACATTTTAATGTAAGAATCACT